AGTAGTAGTAGTAGTAGTAGTAGTAGTAGTAGTAGTAGTAGTAGTAGTAGTAGTAGTAGTAGTAGTAGTAGTAGTAGTAGTAGTAGTAGTAGTATAGTAGTATAGTAGTAGTAGTAGTAGTAGTAGTAGTAGTAGTAGTAGTAGTAGTAGTAGTCGTAGTAGTCGTAGTAGTAGTAGTAGTAGTAGTAGTAGTAATAGTAGTAGTAGCAGTAGTAGTAATAGTAGTAGTAGTAGTAGTAGTAGTAAAGTAGTAGTAGTAGTAGTAGTAGTAGTAGTAAGGGAGGATGAGGAAGTAGGGGGAAGAGAGGAGGAGTGAGGAGGAGGAGGAGGAGGAGGAGGAGGAGGAGTCCCGCCCGCAGGGCCGTCCCGGAGGAACGGTCCGGCCACCGCCCATGCCAGCGTAGGCGGCGGGCTTCCCACGCGGCCGCCGCAGCTGGAGGCGGGCCGCCCTTGCCACGTTGTGCTCGAGGCGGCGGCGAGAGCTGCCGAGTCCTTGAAAGTCGGGCCTCGGGGAATGAAACGGTACCCATACCGCCACCCTTCGTTCGTTTTCGCCTTTCGGGGCCTCCTGGGAGGCCTTCGTCGCCACCGCTGGATCTCGCTTCGGAGGCCTGGTCAGAGCGCACCCTGGGGGAGGTCCGGGGAGCAGCGGTATCGGCACCTTGTGGTTTCCCCAGCCGGGGGACTTCAACTCGCCCCCTTGCCCTGTCCCTTTGTCCTCTGCAGCTCCGCAGCCTGTCAGGCTTAGGCTCGAGAGCCCACGAGCTGTCCTCCCAGCGTGCCGAAAGCAGTCTCGTACTGCATGGCGATCCCCATTCGTGTTCCCTCTGCCGCCCTCGCCCTGTGACAGGAGGGCGTCTTTTTCGGGCGTAGGGGTCGCACGCGTCGCGGGAAACTTCCAAACTCAGGACTTGTGAACAGTAGCGCTTGGCCGTTCTGGTTGCAGGGACGTCTGTCCAGGGACAGGATCGTTCAGTTGTCCTGCGCTCCGCGAACTGGTGGTTTGAATATCACATCACGTTTTTTAAAGTCTAGAGCTCGAGATGGGAATGAGTTGCTGCGCACTGCCTCCTTACGATGGGGGGGACTCCGCTGCCCAGCTGCTGAAACATGGCCCTCCCAGTCTGACGGCGCCCCTTCGAGGGGGGCCGGCGGATAGAGACTACTTGTCGTGGCGCTATACTATGCAGATCTATGGGCGTTGGTAGTTGTACACGTAAACGTCGAGAGGAACATCGGTCAACGTTTCCGTGCTGACGGACAAAAACATCAGACTGAAGCTTTTCTCTGGCGGAGGGATTCGTCTCCCGGGACGGGTGGGTCTACAAAGAAATCGGGACGTCGGCCAGGATGGCTTCAGATACGGCGTCGCAGTGAAAGGGGCCAGTTTTTTGTGCGCTCGAGCACGCGGGCCCATCAGTTGGGCTCGACTCCGTCCTGAAGCCCACGGGGGGGGGGGCACTGCTGCGAAGGCCTTCCGCCCAGCGCCGCCGACACCTGCAGGGAGACGACGACGACGCTCATGGCCTCTTGGAACCATCCTGGGAGTGCTCTGGTCAGGAGGGGAAAAACACACAGACACCATGAATCGTGGATTTCCAGGACGATATTCGAGAATATGAGAAGTGGGGGGTAAGAGAAAATCCCAGAACATGCGGGAAAAGATGGGGCATCCTGTTTCTCGCGCCTATTTGTCTGTGTGTCCCTGGGCTCCTCTATCTGGGGGCTCCTCTGGGCCTCTTGGGTGCCCCTGGGGGGCTCCCTGCAGCTTGGCTCGAGGGCCACGCCTCCGGCCCCGAAGGTGGCACCATCCCCGGCGCGGGCGTTTTTCCCCGATGCCCGATCGGCGGGCGCGGGTGCTCGGCTGGGGCGCCCTGCTGCTGTCGCTCGGGCTCGTGCTGCGCGCGGGTGGCCTCTCCCTGAGCGAGGTCTTCCCGAGCCAGGGAGCCCTTTGAGGAGGAAAAGAGGCACCGAGATGCAGCTCTCCCCTGGGCGCGTTGCCGCCCTATGCCGGGGCCTCCTGTGGGAGGCCCTCGCGGGCCACGCGGCCGGAGCCGCTCCGAAGTGCTGGCCAGGGGGGCACCTCGGGAGAGGTCGGGGGAGCAGCGGTATCGGCATGTTCCCAGACCCCCTCGAGTTATGAAAAAATCACGACGGGAGGTTTTTCATTATTTTTGGCCTTTTGGGGCCCTTACCGGCCCTCGGGACCGTCAAAAAACGACTCAGGACGAAAAACCGGTCCAGGGCAATGGGTCGAGACCTCGGGGGGTCGACGTCATGAAAAAATCATGACGTCGGGGGTCTGGGTTCTGGGTTCCCCCCAGGATCGGTGTACGGCGGCACGTACCTCGTGATTTCTGGGTCAGGGTTCCTCTACCCCGTGGACGCGAATCCGTGGGACGCACAGGACGTCTACATCGGAACAATCCCCTGCGACATCATTCAGCACTACTCCAGTGGCACCCGGATAGTGTGCACAACGGGGGCCTACACCGCTTACGAGGATTCAGCCTGGTTAACTGTGACCGTGCGGCAATTCAGCGGCCTCGGGGACGCGGGGATCGTGCAGATGTCCAGCGCGTTCCGGTACAGGACTTCGTACACCCCGTTTATACACTATGCTGATTCTTGGGCTGGCACTGGGGGTGATGTGCTGCGTTTCGGGGGATACCTTCCGCACATGGACACAACTGGCTACGTGCGCATCTCCATCGGGGACACCCTCTGTGTGACCGACAACGAAGTCTGGCCGCTGCAGGAGTCGACCAGGCGCAGGAACTTCAAGTATGTATCTTGCCAGCTTCCTCAGGACGAGATGGCGCCCCCAGGCATTTACAACGTCTCCCTGCGCCTGAACATGCTGGACCACGAGGAAGGGGAGTGTCCTCAAGGCGCGTGCTTCCCCCTCACGAGCGACGACAACGACGGGTCGACGGGCAGTTACGGCTTGGGCGGGATCGTGCCTGGGGCGATCAGCACGTGGGTCGCATCTTGGGGTTTCCAGTTCTATGGCACCGTGGACCTCGCGACCGGGAGGTCGTACCACTTCACGGTGTACCCGCAGGTGAACAGCATCGAGCCCTCCGTGGGCGGCCTGCACGGCGGAAATACACTCACGATCCACGGCACCTCTTTCTCCGAGACCCCGGCGGACAACCTGGTCAGCGTCGGCGGCATCCCCTGCGAGGTGACCGCCGCCACCGCAAGCCGGCTGCGGTGCGTGCTCGGGGACCTCGGGCGCTGCGTACCTAAGGGGGTGGAGGGGGGGGGGGGGGGCGGGGCGATGGGTGGAGGGGTGAAGACAGGGGGCGCCCCTCGTGCCCCGACGGGGCCCCGAGGACCCCCCCCCCCTCGGCGCCCCAGAAGGGGCACGCGACGTGTGCACGCTCCTCCTCCCCGCCCCCTCCGCTCGTCGCGCGCGCCCCCACGGAGCCAGCGCCCAAGGACCGCTCGCTCTGGCCCGCGGCGCTGCGGGGCCCGACGCCGCGCGGGCTCGTCTGGACGTCCTTCAACAGAGGGGGGAGCTGGGTGCCCAACGGGCTCACCGAGAGGATCCCGCCCGGGGACCGCACGCGGCTCGGCGGCGGCGTGCTCAAGGGCGGGCGGATCGACTGGTGGGGGCGCACGTCCTTCCTCGGGGGCGCCGGCGGCAGCAACTACCAGTTCGAGGCGGAGGGCTTCTTCGTGCCCCCCCTGACGGCAAACTACACCTTCTACGTGGCGGGGGACGACACGGTTGTGCTCGAGCTGGGGCGCAACAGCTCCTTTGACTCCCTCCAGCGCGTGGCGTCCTGCCCGGATTCGGTCACGAAGAGTTGGTACGCCGAGGTCAACCCACACGCGTGGTTCTATCATGGCGACATTCGCACTAACGCTTCGACCACTGTTCTTGAGGTGACGGGCCCTGACAAGCAGGTCTCCGAGCCCATCAGCTTGGCAGCTGGGGAGCGATACGCCTTCCGGCTGCTGCAGACCGAGTGGTACGGATCTGATTGGTACCGTCTCGGAATGAAGGTGAGTGGCCTGAGCAGCGCGTTGAAGGCAGACGGCACCGCGCTTGGCCAGGAGGTGGCTGAGGAGGCTGCCAGAGCGCAACCTGCCATGGAGCTGCAGCGCGTGAAGTATGGGGGCACTGGCATCCTCTACGAGACGCACTACATCCAGCTTGACAACGCCAGCGCTGGGGGCATCTACAGGGTCGCCGTCTCGAACTCGTTTGGCGCGACAGAGTACGTGACCTTCAGCGCGGACGACTCCGCTGGGGAGGTGCAGACTGCCCTCAGAAGCGTGTATCTCACCGGCACCGAGACCTTCCTGTTGTCGTCGTGCTGGCCTCTTTCCGTCTCTGCGACCGAGTGGTACCCTGACGCATTCACGGTGAATCGCACCTACGAGGTGATTGCCCCGTGCTCGTTGCCCCAGGGTGCGGCGAGACACATGTCCCTCTCGGTGCCCCCCTCTCTGGCGGGCCTCGTGGGCGCCAGTGCCGGGCTGCTGGTTGCAGGGACTCCTCCTCCCTCTGGGACCATCCGCGTAGGTTGCAACGGCGAGTGGAGCGATCCGATTGACCCTCTTGTCGATCCTTGGTACGTCGTCCAAGCCATATCTCAAGTGGGACGCGATGGCAACGCGGTCGAGGTCGAGGCTTGGCCGTCCATGCGCGGCTGGACCACAGGAGAGGCCTGGGAGATCTTCGTGCGCTTCCGGAAACCGTTGGGGGATGTGCCACTGCTGGAGTTGGATCTCAGCAGCTTCGTCGGGGTACCCGACCCAGAGGGCCCAGCCGTGTTCAGCGTCACGGTGGTGACAGTCGAGAATGGCGACGCAGACGCTGTGATGATGGAGCGCGTACCCGCGGACCTCTTCCGGATGCCTCACCCGGCAGACAGCGAAGCGATGGTGGTGGTCGTGGAGACTTTGGGTGTGGCCAGCGCCACCGCAACCGAGGAGGCGCCTGCCTTCTCCTACCTGGAGGGGCTGACTCCCGTCCTCCTCGGCGTGCACCCCCCCACCGTGCAGGGCGGCAGCACGCTGACCGCCGCCGTGGCCAACACCAACGCGACCGACGGCAACGTCACCCTCTACATTGGATCCTCGCTCGCCTGCGCCGGCCTCACGGACGTGACAGAGGCCTGGAACGGCACCGCATGGTGGAATTCGAGCGATGGGGCGAATGGCGCGGCCCGCGAGTGGCGCCTCCTCAGCTGCACGGTGCCGAACGGCACGGCAGGCGTGCACCGGGTGCGCCTGTTCTCGGAGGAGCAGGGCCTGGCAGACCCGTCGTTGGCGCCGAACGTGACGTACCTGCCGGCTGTGGAGGACATCTCGCCTCTGACGGGCTCCATGGCAGGCGGCACTCTTTTCACGGTGTCTGGCGACGGCCTCGCCAAGATGCCGTGCGCGGAGATCACCATCGGTGGCCTGGCCTGCTCCGAGGCGGCCGTCTCGCCCTTCGGCACCGCGCCGTTGGGCGGGGACAGCGTTGTGTGCCTCACGCCAGACGCGCTGAATGGAGCCTCTCTCGAGGACGTGCTGGAGGAGGTGGAGGCGGAGATCGTGTTGTTGATGCCGACGCCCCAGGTGATCGGGACGTTTGTGTACTCTGTCAACAATACCCCGGTCATCAGCGCGGTATCGCCAGAGCAGCACTCGGCCGCGCTCACAGTGGAGGTGGTCCTCTCCGGGCAGCGCCTCGGCGGGGACAGCGCGCCGCCGGTCGTCGCCTTTGGCGGTCGGCCCTGCGTCGTCGAGCAGCACACCGCCCGGCGCGTGGAGTGCTGGCTGCAGCGCTCTGTGCCCGCGCCGCCGGCGAACTCGACGATGCAGCCCACCGTGTGGGTCGAGGGGCTGGGACGCGCGGCGGTCATCGAAGAAGAAGAAGAAGGAGAAGAAGAAGAAGTGTCATAAGCATAACCTCTTGGCGCTCCGCGCGAATGCCTTGGGTCCGCGCTGGGCCCCCCCAGCGGCGCCTCCGGCGCCGCCCTTGGCGCGCGGAGCGCGCCAGGGAGGGGGGTCCAGCGCAGATCCAAGAAATCCGCGCGCAGAGCAAAAAGTTGATGTTTAGGTCGTTTTGTTTTCTTCTAGGTCAACTCGTCGGCGGCGTTTACGACCCTGTTCGAGGTGGCCAGCCTCAGCCCGAGCTACGCTTCGATCGCGGGCGGAGCGATCGTGACGCTGACGGGGTCCGGCTTCCACCCCTCCGATCCCTGGAAGCACGAGGTGTTCCTGGACCTGCCAGATGGGACCGAGCATCCCTGCGTCGTGCTCTCGGGCAGTGACTCCGAGCTCCGGTGCAAGCTCGAAACCGCGGCGGCCCCGGACGGCTACTCCTTCAGCGTCCATCGCTCGGGCACCATCTTGGGGCGCAGGTTGGCTGCCGCAGAGGCTGGCGCCGGCGGAGCGCACGGACGCAAGATCGATTGCGCGCGCGAGCGGTCGCCAAAGACGAAGGGGCACTGCCTCGCCAAGTCCGTCATGAGCATGGGCAGGGTGCGCTCCATGGGTGCCGAGCATCCAATGGCCAAGGGCTTGGCCAAGCTGGCGGCAGTGCCGCCGGCGCACGCGTTCTCGGGCCCCTGGGCAGGGCGGTCAGCGACGGCAGCTGACCTTGACGGCCACGGGCGGCCCGGCACGGGCAGGCGCCTGTCAGCGGCCACAGGCACGGCGAGCGCCACCATGAGCAGTATCACGCCAACGAGCAGCACAACGCTGACCAGCACGAGTTTGACGTCTTCCGCCACGGACCCGAGCACCACGGATACCCAGACCTCGACCACCACCCTGACCAGCAGCACCCAGACCAGCACCACCCCGACAGGCCCGAGCGTGGCGTCTGCCACTCCAGACGACTCCTCCTCGGAGACCAGGACATCCACCGTTACCCTGACCAGCAATACTGAGAATGTGTTTCCCTCGAGCGTTCCACCTTCAACTGACGACATTTCGTCGACGTTCTCCACTACCACGCTGGTCAGCATCACCCAGACCAGCACTACCCTGACCCTCGACAGCATGACGTCTGATACCCAGACCTCGACCACCACCCCGACCAGCAGCACCCAGACCAGCACCACCCCGACAGGCCCGAGCGTGACGTCTGCCCCTACAGACGACTCCTCCTCGGAGACCAGGACATCCACCGTTACCCTGACCAGCAATACTGAGAATGTTTTTCCCTCGAGCGTTCCACCTTCAACTGACGACATTTCGTCGACGTTCTCCACTACCACGCTGGTCAGCACCACCCAGACCAGCACTACCCTGACCCTCGACAGCATGACGTCTGATACCCAGACCTCGACCACCACCCCGACCAGCAGCACCCAGACCAGCACCACCCCGACAGGCCCGAGCGTGACGTCTGCCCCTACAGACGACTCCTCCTCGGAGACCAGGACATCCACCGTTACCCTGACCAGCAATACTGAGAATGTGTTTCCCTCGAGCGTTCCACCTTCAACTGACGACATTTCGTCGACGTTTTCCACTACCACGCTGGTCAGCACCACCCAGACCAGCACTACCCTGACCCTCGACAGCATGACGTCTGATACCCAGACCTCGACCACCACCCTGACCAGCAGCACCCAGACCAGCACCACCCCGACAGGCCCGAGCGTGACGTCTGCCCCTACAGACGACTCCTCCTCGGAGACCAGCACATCCACCGTTACCCTGACCAGCACCACCCAGTCCAGCACCTCCGACAGCAGCACTGTCACCGCTACGGCCACCATGGATACCCAGACCTCGACCACCACCCTGACCAGCAGCACCCAGACCAGCACCACCCCGACAGGCCCGAGCGTGACGTCTGCCCCTACAGACGACTCCTCCTCGGAGACCAGCACATCCACCGTTACCCTGACCAGCACCACCCAGTCCAGCACCTCCGACAGCAGCACTGTCACCGCTACGGCCACCACTGCTGCAACCACCACGGTGTTCGCAGACACCGTAGCTGCGATCCGGCTGACGCTCAACGGGGTCACGGCACGCTGCGTTGCGGCGGAGGGCTGCGGCGTGGTGTATTCCCAGATCGCCACGCCGAAGTTGTTGGACGTGTGGCCGCTCAATGGGACGGTTGGCACCAAAGTCGAAGTCACTCTCGAAGGTCAGCAGGATGGCAACAGGATGAAGGTGTTCTTCGGCGACGTGCAGTGCAACGTCTCGTCCTGGAGGATAGAGTCTGGAGACTACGAGCTGGTCCAGGCCGACGTCTTCGGCCTGGGAGGTCTCAATCTCACACAGACCGTCCTGGAGGTGCCGCTGTGCGAGTTCCCGGCCGGTGACGTGCCTGTCTTGGTGGCCGCAGACCCGCAGGGGTACGCCCTGAACGGCTCCCCGCACCTGGGCGCCGACCTCTGGTTCTCGCGACCGCTGGAGCTTTATGGGCTGAGCCCCGAGAATGGCTCCTCCCACGGAGGCACGCGGGCGAGATAATATCGCTCCAGAGCGTCCCAGAAGGTTCTCCGAGCGTTCTGGAGCGCTCCGAGAAGGCCGTGGCGCCCGACACATCCTCCGGCGCCGCCGGACGTCTCAGAGCTCCCCGATCCGTCCCTGTCCGATGGCGTCCCCGGCCTGGCCTCGCCCAAGGCCTGGAGCTGACCATCTCGGGAGCCGGCTTCAGCTCCGTGCCCGGGGAGAACTTCGTCACGGTGGGCGACCGGGTCTGCCAGGTGTCGGCGGCCTCCTTCGGCGAGCTGCGCTGCTGGGCCCCGCGGGCCCCCGGTGGCGCCGAGGGGGCGCAGGAGCTGCGCGTCGTCGTGGGGTCAGCGGGCACGGGCGCGGGCCTGTCCGCCGACTTCTACCACTTCGGGGCTCTGGTGTCCATCGACGACTTCGGCAGCTACTCTCCGGACTCGAACGGGACGACGCCGACGCTGAGCTTCGAGAGCGACGTGGGCACGGCGCTCGGCCTCGGCTTCACGACGGGCTTCGGCGTGGACTGGCGGGGCTACCTGACCATCGCAACCCCCGGCACCTACGTCTTTTCGCTGGTCTCTGACGACGGCAGTGGCTTATGGATAGACGACGCCCTGATTGTGGACAACAGTGGGTGGCACGGCGCCGCGGAAGTCATGGGCACTGCAGCCTACCTCGAGGAGGGCGACCACTACATCGAGATCAAGTACACGCAGGGTTATGGCAGTTCGAACATCGTCTTCAGCTACGCCGGGCCCGATACAGGGGAGGTGACAGTGGTGGTTCCAGAGACGGCGTTGAAGCCGCTGCAACGCGACGCGGGGCCCCAGTTGCAGTTCGAGTACGTCAACGCAGTGTCCCCCCAGGTGCTGGCGCTCGCGGTCGTGACGGCCCCTGGCTCCCCTGGGGCCAGTTTGTCACCTCGAGTTGTTTCTTGATAGCCCTGCGGCCCAGAAATGTTCTGTCGAGGTCGAATATCACTCCCCAACAGATACTGCTCGGCTGTCTCGAGCCAGTTCTGGGCGTGTCTGAGGCCAGGAAGAATATATCCCAAGTGTTCTAGGACGCTCTCAGAGCGTTCCTTAGCACTGGACCGGCCACGGCGCCCGATACATCCTCCAGAAGCGCCTAATCTCAGAGGTCCCGTTTTGTCCAGGTCCGAGTTTGTCCTGGTCCTGGCGGGGCCTCTTTTGATCCGATCGAGCCGATTCGGTGTCGAATTTTGAACGGCCCAATCCGACTCGATTTCGATGTTCCACAGGTTCGACGACGCATTATGTTTCAATGGCACCGTAACGCATCCTGGCACGACCGATTCGATCTGATTCCGCCTCGGTCCTGACGTGGCCCAATTCGACGTAAGTTCAGATCCAACCCGATTTCCCGATTCGATGATGGGTTCACCAAGATAGCGTAAAGTCACAGTCGGAATCTCCCGAGGGTCCCAGAGCCCAAAACAAAGGCAAACAGCGCCCCGACGTGCAGACACTGCAGCGCCCACATCTCAGGGTCAGCACGTGAGCGACGCAAAAACAACGGGGGCCGTCTGCGCCGAAATCTGTGCGCAAGTTGTCCGCGCAAGGTCGCGCGTGAGCGTCCTCGTTTCCAGTGTGGCGTGCCGCGCTGGCGGCCCGCGTGAGCCACGGCGTAAGGTCGCTATGCTTAAGTCGGGCATGTCCCCCTACAGGAGGAATATTGACACATGTTTAAAAATAGTCAGGGGACGATTTTGTTCTATTGGTACGAGCTATGTTTGACTGCTTTTGACTATGTTGAAGTTTTCTTCCAAAATCCGCCTGCAGGAGGACATGCCCGACTTAACGCTATGCCATTTCGCGAAAGAGCCGTTTGCTTTTGTCGCTCAGATGGTCCTCCACCCAGGTGCTGGCCATCGCGGTCGTGTCGGCCGCGGCCGAGGCCGAGGTGGAGCTGCTCGTCAACGGTTCAGGCTTCGGGAGCACGCCGGGGGCCGTCGTGCTCGGCGTGCACCGCGACCCGACGGCCACCCGGAGGAGGAGGATTTGCCGACTGCGAGCAAGAGCTCAGTGGAGGAAGACGTGCCCATACCGCAGCGCTTCCCTCGTCTTCCGCCTCTTGCGGCCTCCTGGGAGGCCTTTGTCGCCACGGCTGGATGTGCCTCGAACGTCTGGTCAGAACGCACCCTGGGAGAGGTCCGGGGAGCAGCGGCATCGGCAATGGCTGGTGTCCCCCAGGAGCGACTCTTCGCCAGAGTGCCCTCTGCTGCACGACTCTCGGAGGGAGCGGGGGGGGGAGCATGCTCAAGCGCCCAGGCCACCACGCCTGCAGCGATCGGCAAGCCGCGGAACAGAGGGCACGACTGCCGAGGGGACTCTTGGCGTGCGACCGGATGGAGGAGGAGGAGGTCTGCGGCGAGGATCGGAAGGATAGCGCGGAGGATGACGATAGGATGATGAGATGATGGAGGCCGCCACGAGGAGGTTCGCGGGGAGGAGGAGGAGAGAAAGGAGGAGCTTCGTGTCGAGGAGGCTGGGGAGAAGGAGTGTGTGGAGGGCAATGAGGAACAGCGTCGGTGCCATCGAGGTTAGATGGTGGCGAGCTTCGAGGATCGAAAAGCTTGGGCGCATGCAGCCCACCTTGAGGCGGAGACATTTGGCATCCTCCGGTGACCTTCAGTGACCTGCAGATTCCGGAGACCTCGGGGCCCTCTGGGGGACGACAGGATGCGCATCCGGCGACAGGGCCTTCTGCTGTGCGCCTGCTCCCGGCCCTGCTTCCCCCTCGTCATGATCCTCCCGTCGGCGCAGCGGTGCTTTCCGACTCGAGTTCCTTCTTGTCCGTCGTGTCGTGTTTCTCTTCGTCCTTTGTGCGAGCTCCCTTCTCCTCCTCATGCTGTTCCCCTTCTCCTGTAGGTGGCCCGGGCGACTGCGCGATGGGTCCTCCCTTGTTTTGGATTCGGGGGCATCGCCAGGGTGGCGAGCGAACAACCCACACCCATTTCCACAGGAGGGTCGAAAGGAGGAGGAATGGCTGTGGGTCTGGGCGCGAGTTGTCGGACCCTGGGGGAAGCTCTCGTTCGAGCGGGGACCCCCATCCGACAACACGCACCCATGGCCCCTCCGCCCCCCCCTACCCAGAGATCCGATGCCGTGATTTGTTCAATACGGGGTCCCCGGAAGTCTCGACCCATTCCCCAGGCCGGTTTCTCATCCTAAGACGTTTTCTCACCGTCCAGGGGCCCGGCGAGGGCCCTTCGAGGCAGAAGCATACGAAAGACCTCCGCCTTGATGTTTCCAGTGCGTTGGATCTCTGGGTGTGGGTATGGGTGCGTGTTGCTCGATCGTCATAGGGGGGGGGAGGGTAGGCTCGGGGGGGGGGACGCGTCGACGCTCCCCGTCGCCCACGCATCGCCGCTACGTCGGGGCCCGGGTGCTCGCCCCCGCCAAGCTCGGAGGTGGATAGTCCTCCTATCCTGACACGTCGATTAAGGAATTGGCCGTTTTCGCTTCGCGAGAGGGCGTCGCGGCCGTCGTTTTTGCGGGTCCAGGTCCGTCTGTTTCGGTCCCAGGCTTTTTTTCACTGAGGGGAGGTTTGCTAAAGGGAGGCTTGTCCACCGCCGACAAAAGAACCACACGGCTTTTTGCTGTCTCTCCTGGGCCTCTCGCCGACCTCTGGCGGCGACGCCTCGCCGACTCCGGAGATCGCTGGCGACGCTTCCCCCCCCCCCCCCTCGCGACCGCGGAGCCGGCCCCTCCCGGGTGCTCCGCCTCCCCGTCCTCCTCCTCCCCCTCCTCCTCCCCCATCCTCCTCCTCCTGCTCCTCCTTCTTCTCTTCCTCCTCCTCCTCCTCCCTCGTCCTCCTCGTCTTCCTCCTCCTCCTCCTCCTCCTCCTCCTCCTCCTCCTCCTCCTCTCCTCCTCCTCCTCCTCCTCCTCCTCCTCCTCCCCTCCTCCTCCTCCCCCATCCTCCTTCTCTTCCTCCTCCTCCTCCTCCTCCTCCTCCTCATCCGCCTCCTCCTCCTCCGCCTCCTCCTCCTCTTCCTCCTCCTCCTTCTAGATGTGCTCGGTAAGGGCTTTTCGCGTCAGCTATCGAGCGTGGCGTCTCTACTGAGCTGGGTGACTGTGAGCATGGCTTCTGCAAAGGAAGGAGGAAGGAGGGGGCGATGCTCGTGCAGCAGTGTAGTATGTACAGAGTTCGGGCGTGTGGTCTTTCTTGTCTGTTTCAGGGAAACGACATGGCCAACGCCTTCGCCTCATTTTCCTGGGCCTCTCTAGAAGACGCGAACGCTGAGCTTTTGAACCCTAGCGAGAGAGTTCTGTGAACGCAGCGCTATCAGGAAGCGACTGTAAGATTACCGATCGAGGGGGGAAATGTGACGGTGAAGACCAGGGTGGGGGCACTTATGGGCGATACGCTTGCGGTGCACGGCTTCTGCAGAGCCTTTCGTCCCGCCATCGAGGAGCGGCAGGCATTGCAAATGGATTTGACCCGATGGCAGAGGCGTTGGTCACCAAGCACCCTTTGTTGCCTTATGTTCGAGTTGATTTATCTTTGACTGAGTATTCCGACGACATTGAGAAACTATTCATTGAAAGCCCTTGGGTCCGAAACTATGTACTGCATATTCCTTGGATGGGGGACGTATAAGGCGGTCAGAGGTTTGGGAGCTGGGGTGCTTGAGCTATGTCATACTGCGATGCACTCAAGAAGTTTACTAGATCAATGTCTACCGTCTCGTGGATATCAGCAAAACGCATCTGATCAGAGCACCTTATTATCCTCAGTGGGCGTGGGCCCTGGGATAGGTCGCAAATTACTGAGAAAGCCAGGGTTTCCGATTGCGGGGACCATCCACGAGGTTAAAAGAAGTCTTGGGTGGACATACTCATTTCAGAGGTTCGTCGACGGCCGAAATTACCAAGCGTCTTGAAGTTATTCAGCGGGCGTTTCATCAGGCTGGCCGTTTTGGGAGATTGCATGGAATTGCCTGGCGATGGCGTCGATGCATGTTTCTTGCCAGATGTGTCAACGCGGCGCGCTCTAACCTCGAGGCTTTCATTGTCTCTGGCTTTGATTTTCGTTCGCTGCATTCGTCCTTGGTGCGCTGCGCTTGAGTGCTGCTGAGGGGGGAAGTTTCCGAATATGTTGGTGCTCATATCAAGACGATTGTGAACGACGGTGTGTTGAGATATTGGAAGCTTGCCCCCACACGCCTCGATTGCCAGGTCATTCGTACGAAGCGGCTGCAATGTTGGATCAGGAAAAGGCGGAGCCATGTACAGGAAGTTGCCGCGGTCTTTGGGCGTCTCTCGATTGAGCTGCATGGTACTGTAGACAGTGGCACGGGCAGGGTTACGCGCTACGCTAACCCGTGGGTTGTCCAGGCCTAGAGTGACTGTGTGGAACTTTGCAGAGCCCACGAAGGAGATGATCTTATCGAGGATGCGCAGGGGTCGATTGGCTTCTTCTTTCAGGATGAGGATGCTGCCACAGATTGTTGTTCCCTGGGTCCCAGTACTCTTAGCAAGGAGTTCCTGTCTGTCAAGTTAGCTCCCCCAGAAGATTGTTCCCCCCTTGTTCGGGCATTCCTTTTTCTCAGGCTCTCGTTCTCTGGGCCCCGTCGCAGGCCCTGAGGTTCAACGAGTGGGCGAATGTACTTACACATGCTTGATGGCTCGTGGGGATAGTATATTCGGGGAATTATGTTCTACCAGCGGGGGGGCTACTTGAACATGTTCGGCATGGGCATGGCATGGGCGCACCTCTCGTCTACATTGGTTATCTCCAACATGTGCCCCAACTGCCTCGATGTTTTTGAGGGCGAGATTATGGCGGCTAGGCGTTTGTCTGGGTCTCTTGGGCGTGGGAATTGTCTGAAAGGACGTCCTTGTGCCCTTGCTGCCTCTGGGTCTACTACGCTTCGACGTCAGATTTGTGGGTGCGATGGTGGATGCGAGCTTGACTTGTTCCTGCACGTCCGAAGGCGTTTTCCTCATGAGCTCGGCGTCTGGGATATCGGCGCCCACAAGTTCGCCACCCATGCCCGCGACGACTGCAATGTCTGCTTGGATGGGCAAGAGGGCGGCGGCGGCATCGGCGGCGCCTGCTCGCAAGAAGCCGGCCGCGGGATCGGCGGGGGCGACGGGGGGAGGCGCTGCTGGCGGAGACGATCGCCCCCCCCCCCCCCCCCCCCCCCCCCGCGCACCACCACCCCACCTCGCGGTGGCCAGCGGCGCCAGGTCCTCGAAAGCCTGATCGAGGCAGGAGGCGAGCTCGAGCTCGCGAACTCGGCCGATTTGCGAATGCTGCTGGGCGCGTTGCTCAGTTCTTTCCTGGCGCCGCCACATGCCGACGTGATCAAGGAGCTGCTGGGGGCGGGCCGAGGCTACAACGCAGAGTCGCAGAACTGGGCCAACGTGAAGAAGGAGGCGCTCAGCAAAGGAGAGGGCCCCCCCCCCCCCCCCGCCCAATCCCCAAGGGCCTCCTCACCACGCGCTGTTCGGAGTCTCCCTGCACCGCATCATTTCGCACGCGCAGGGGGGGCAGGGGGCGGGGGGGAAGTTGCTGATCCTCAGGGAGTTCTGGGAGAAGCAGATGTCACGGGGGGGGGGGGGGGGGGGGGGGGCGCGAAGGCGGCGGAGCATTTCAAAATCTTGAAGGCGACGGGGGCGAAGAAACTCGAGGGGAAGGAGGAGATGGTCAAGGTCCAGTTCCTCGTGGAGAGCTCGCCAGAGGCTCCAGCTTTCAAGGCGCTGTTCGAGAAGCACTTGATCGAGAAGGGGGGCAAGCAGCTCATGGGCGGGGCGCCGAGGGGCGCCCTGGAGCGCGAGGTTCAGCTGCTCCTCGACCGCCAGCGCCGAGGACCGCAGAGGCGCTAGCGTTCAGCACGAGCTCGAGGTCCAGGGGTCTCTATGGGAGGGGATTGCTCAGTGAGAGGGGTAGTGAGTTGTCCTCCAGATTTTTGTCCAATCCTAGTCAGTCGAATTCGAATATCCCAGGAGCCCCCCCCCCCCCCCCCCCCCCCCC